ATTAAGAAATAGGTGAATAATGGTTTTTCTCATCATACACAAACAAATGCTATAATTTTTAGTGATCTCTACTAATGCTTGTTGATCAGATAAGGAAGAAGGATAGAGAAGATGGAAAGGTAGAAAGTCATATAAGGCAAGAAGAGGAAAAGGGAGCATACAAGTCAGTGGAAATAATAATCAGAAAAAGGCAGTATATAGGCATAATTTCTAGATCCAATTTGAGAGCTTTTCGCAGGACTCTTGCCTCTTCTGATCTCTCCCCATTTTCAAATAAGGACGTTTTAAACAGATGGTGCTTTAAGCAGTTCCCATAGCTGCTGCTCCTCCTAAGACTGCAGAGCTCAGGATTGACTGCAGGTCCCGCTGCACAAGCAAAGTTACCCTATGTGCACTTTGCCTCCCTGTGCTACATCTTCCCACGCACTTGGCACCTGTTCCTAACCCATGCTGCTGCTACTGTTCCTGTGACAAAGGAAAGGGCACACGATTCAGTGTGACCCTGTTTTTGGAATACTTTCCATGTAGAAGACACGCCAGGAGCTACAAAGGAAAGTACTTATATCATGGCATTTCAAATTCAGTGACAAGTCAGTGGAGGGAATGGGTATATATAGATATATAGATATATAGATATATAGAATATAGATATATAGATATATACATGTATACGGGCTGGGTTTATCTTTCCTTGCAAATCACCTAAAGTCAATGAAAATAAGGGTTAAAAGATACAATTATCAACCCCCACTCTGAGTTTATGTTGCTCCTGAAATTATTGTATGCTGTAAGTAAGTTGACACTAAGCAGTGCCTGCTTAAAAATATACATATCAAAGGATTCAGGGTCCCAATTGCAGCACACTGAAGGCTTGGTATTGGAGAAATGCATCAGCAATATTGGCCTTCAGTGGGGAGCAGTTACTAGTTGGAGTGCTATGCCTGGAGAGGGGTTCACATGAGGAGAAGAGCTGGCTGAGCTTCCTTAAGCAAAGAGGTCTAGATGCAGGACATTCCATCTTTTTTAGACGTGGTGCCACACAGATGCCCAACAAGCTGGGGTGAGCCAGATGCCCCTTTGGGGAGAGACTTAGGGAAATTGTCTGTCATCTGTTTTGGGGTTAAAGGGGTCATTGTGGCTGAAGACACATATGGAGATCTCACCTGACATCAGACACTCCCTGGAACTCTTTGGAACCTGGCAGACTGCTCCCCCCACTTAATCAAACCTACTTCTCATCCTTTAGTTACTACTCTTACCATCTCCTCCTCAAACATACCAAGCACACTTACATGTTTGTGATTTTGCCCATTTCCTTTTCCTGAAATACTTTTTTCTCATAGCGTCTGTTGAGAAAGCAGCATCTGTCACCAAGAATAGAAATCCAAGCCCTCTGCCCACTGCCTGTTGGTACCCGAGTTGCGGAGGCAAACACAGCACAGACACTAGATGGACCAGCACTGGGAAGAATCAACAAAATCAGCATTAGCGGTGTGCATGGACCCCCAGCACCAGTTGCTCTCTCCCAGTGGTGAATGCAGGGCCATTGATCTGCATGCAACCCTTTTGTCCACAGAATGAAGGACTATCCCCTCTTTTCCAGGAACAGACTTAGCAGTGAGGTCAGCCAGCTGCCACATGATTCACACTTAAAAAGAACAAAGATGTGCCCATCAAGCTAAGTGAAATAAATCAGAAAGAGATAGATATCATATATGTCACTCATGTGGAATCTACAAAACAAAATAAATGAACATGCCAAACATATAAGTACAGAGGACAAACTGATGATTGCCAGACAAGAGAGGGTTTAGGGGGATGGGTAAAAAAGGTGAAGGAATTAACGAGTACAAAATAGTCATGATGTAAAGCATAGCATAGGTAATATAGTCCATAGTATTGTATTAGCTATGTGTGAATGTTAGACTTATTGGGGGAGGGGGGGAATAACCTTGAAAGTTAGACTTATTAGGGGAATAACCTTGTAAGTTGTATAAATGGCTAATCAGTATGCTACATACCAAACATGTCAAACTCATGGCCCACAATTAATATTTTTGCAGCACAGCCAATATAATGGTATGTTAAGAAATGTTCAAATAAAAATTTTGTAACTTAACTTTTACAATATCCTGTTATACATTATATATATATATATATATATCCCTAATATGCAAATAGACCAAATGGTGGAATAGCCAAACAACCGGTTGCTATGACGTGCACTGACCACCAGGGGGCACACATGGAATATGGCGGGTGTTGGCAGCAGGTGGCAGACATGGAGCATGATGGATGTTGGCTATGGCAGGATGGTGGAGCAGGTGAGCGAGGGCGTCAAACCAAGACCAGGCACTAGTCACTGTGATCTGGGCAAGCCTCTGGTGGTTACTGAAAATTTTTTGCTCCCACATATCATGGTCCTGTCCAGTGCTCACATCCTGCTGCCTGCACCAGACCCGCTCATATCCACCCTCAATCGCTCAGCACCATCAGCAGGTGCAAGTAGCAACTGCCAGCCCCAATGACCCCTCAGGGCTTCTTCATCTTCCCCTGCTCCTGAGGGACTATTGGAGCCAGCAGCTGCCATTCACACCCACTGCTAGTACCTAAGTTGACAGTCACACCCAGTGCTGGTGCCAGCCCCACTTGTACCCATAGCTGGTGCCTGGCACCAGATCTGATAGCTCAGCGTCTTCAGAGAGTACGAATGGTTGCTGCCGAAACCAATTGCCCCTGAGGGCTTCTCCACTCCCTCTGCTCTGAGGGGCAATTGGGGCAGCAGCCGCCACTCACACCCGCTGACTGCACCAGCCCCACTGGCACCTACTTCTGGCTCTGGCCCCAATCCCTCCATGCTGTCAGTGGGTAAGAATGGGGCCAGTGTCATCAGTATGTGAGAGTGATGGCAGCAGGAGCAGGGCTACTGGCAGAGAGGGAACTGGAGGCTGTAGTGGGATAGGAGGTGGGGACATGGAAGATAGACCAAGACCTGCCCCTGTGCTCACCACAACCTCGTGGCTCACAGTTCCTTTCAAGGTGCATGAATTCATGCACTGGGCTCCTAGTCCTATATAATAAAAACCTGATATGTTACGTGTCTGGTTGTCTGGTCATCCATTCAACCAATCAAAGTGTAATATGATAATGACATGCTTAGGCTGTTAAACTGTTCGCTATGACCACTGACCACTGGGTGTAGACAGTTCACCGGTTGACCAGTTACTATGATGTGCATTGACCACCAGGGGCAGTCGCTCCAACCAGTAGGTTAGCTTGCTGCTGAGATCTGGCTGATCAGGACTGAGTGAAACAGGCCAGACATGCCCTAGAGCCCTCCTGCAGTCCTTCCCTGGCTGGCTAACCTCCCATATCCCTCCCCAGCCCCAATCATGCACTTGTGGGGTCCTTCAGCCTGGCCTGCACCCTCTCACAATCCAGGACCCCTCAGGGGATGTCAGAGAGCCTATTTCAGCCAGATCCTAAAGGACAGGCTGAGAGTCTGCACTTGTGCACAAATTTGTGCATCATCCTGTAGTTATTAATAATGAAGTACAACGTTCACTAATGACTGGTTACTATAATTGTGTTGCATTCCATTTCCCTTGCATGCCTTAAGTGCAGGCGCTCCATTTCTCTCCACTAATACTAGCAGTGGATATTTTAGCAGCCAATTGTCATGTCATTAGTCTTGTACCGCCTTGTTTGGTGTACATAACAGGAAATATTTCACTTTTGGAGGACAAGAAAAATAGGTTTATTTGCATTTTGCTTATTAATTTGTGCAGTTATTTAGTATCTGGTAAGTTAATGTTCAAGAAAAAATACTAATTTTTACTAAAATGTTCTTTTATTTTATGTTAACAATTACCCATTTATTTCAGCCCTTTCTATTCAGCATGTCTCTATCAAAATAAGCCTACATTTCTATGAAAATTGAAGCTTTTGTTTTTTTACGGCCCACATAAACTTAAACCTTGTTTATTTGACCCATGTTAGCTTTTGGGTTTGACATGCTTGCTGTACACCTAAAACGAATATAATATTGAATGTCAACTATAATTGAAAAAAGAAATTTAACTCTGAAGGAGAGTAAGATGGTCTTTAGGTAAGGAAGTGTTCCAGGCCCACAGCCCATTCTTATGTGACCAAGAGGTGGTCCAAAGCAATACTTATGAGCTTGTCTTTCCCAATATAGTGCACATGGCTTCTTCCTATTTCCCTAGCCAACCCTCTCTCTCCTTCAAATCTTTGTTCTCATTACCAAAAGAGCCTTCCATGGCCAGTCTTTATAGATTATGCCATAGCCATCTCCAAATCCAGTCCTCTGGTCTCCATGAAGACAAAAGCTTTGGTGGTTTTAATAACTGCTGTATCCTCAGCATTTACAATAGTGACGGGCACATAGTAGGTATTCAATAAAAGTGCGTCGAAGAGGTGATTAAGAAAAAGTCTGGCCTCATGATGCCTGCCAAACAGTGAAGGAAAACTTTTCAGAAACTTTCATAGATGAAGTCATTCGCTCACACTGCATCCAATTTACACTTAGGAACCCAACAAGCCTGAGAGAAGGTGATATGTCCAGGATAGCAGATAGCACTATTATCACTCAGTTCTCATCAGGGCTCCAAGCAACTTGCAAAAAACCTGTCTTCTGATATACAGCACTCATTTATGTCAGACAGAAAATCAAGCAAATTATTTTTCACCCAAAGGGAGCAGGATTATTTGACTTCAAATATTTGCCATATGGCTTCTCTATCATGCAACATAGCTTCTAGGCTCAAGGTAGTCAGAGTGGGAGAACGCCCATAAATTATTCAGAGATAATTCAAAATAAGTGTGAATCTTTGACAGATTGTCAAGTTTCTTGATGCCTTTTCCTGATAACAAAGTGCTACATTTTTTACAGAAAGTGGCTGGTTCCTCATCACACTTATTGTTGCTCTGTGTATGTTTTCTGTGTTGTTTTGTTTCATTTGTTTTTGTCCCCCCCACAGAGTCCAGTCTGGCTCTTATCTCAGCACTGGGTGGTTTACCTTCATTCTGGCTATGGATGCCTGTTACGGCATTCACGTCTACGGGATGATAAATGACACCTACTGCAAGTAAGATCACAGGAAATTATTTTTATGCATCTCCAATTCTGATATCTTGTCAAAATATCACAATTCATTTTAATACCATAAATCTGGCAAACAGATAAAGCAACAATTATTTCCCAGTATTCGTTGCTGACATGACATTTCATTGTCAGTGCATCGAGCTATGACTTTTAGGAGTGATAAAAAGAAAAATATTTACCATCGCCTAATGTGAAGTGTCGGAAGAAACATTTTTCCCTTAATCAGTGGCATATCAGGGACTTGTGGCTTAGAAGTACAGAACAATGTTAGTGGTTATTTAATTTGCAAAGCAAGTTTGTCATTTCTGGTGGGCTAATGATGTGCTAGATGGCTATCAGTGGCTATATTTGATCATGAAGGACAAAATATCCTGGAGCCTCTGAGAAGCTAACAGCTTAGCAAGAATGTCTGGAAATAAGCGAATAATCTGCCAGATCTTTATTTAAAATGGGTGTCTTTATCCACATATATCCCCGCTGGTGGGATAGTTCCTAATTAGGTATTAAAACAAACCTCCCATGTTTCATCAAGGTAATGAAATATATTTCCCTACCAATAATTGGCACAATATAATTCAGAGAGTGTTTTAATCATATTTTCAGAATGGTAATTAAGGCACAATCTTTGTGATAAAATATTTCTACCCTAACTTAAAGCATATTGGAGCACAGATGAACCAAACATCTTACTCTGAAAAATCACAAAGCTCCTTCAAGCTCTGTAAGAGCATTGGGCTATGCAAAGCTTGCTTCCATTATGCACCATTTCCTCCTTCAAAGGATAGCTATATGTTTGAATGTAATTGGTATGGTGTATAAATTTTATTTGATTTATTAAAGCACTAAGGGTCTAGTACATCTTCCTAAAAGCTTTTACACATAATAGTTTTAACTGAGTTCATGGACTAGAATCATGCATAGGTTTGCAAGTAAATGCAGTTTCTGGGCATATAATGTATTCTAATAAATGAATGCTTTATTCTTCATCTCAATCTTTTTCTTTTCTAGGACAGAGGGGTATAGAAAAGTCCCCTACCATTACTATGAACAAGGAAGAGATGAGTGTGATGAATATTTTCTTCATGAACATGCCCCATATGGAGGCCATAGGTTTATCACTGAAAAGAAGGTGTTTGCTAAATGGGCCAAGAAACACAGGATAATATTTACACATCCAAACTGGACAGTGTCTTGATATTGTTTTTTCTGATCTTGCCACACTCACTTGACATGATGATGTACTGCAACTGTGATGCTGAAGATGCTGTGATGATGCTATTGATGACGACAACAATGATGATCAAGACTCTGTACATTCTCAGATATGGATGATGACTCTGCCAGTAATTTGAACTTGGGATTCCATGCAGGGTGGTTGTGCTCATTACATTATTTCTTAAGGTTCAACATCCATGTGCACTTTATAATTTAACTGGAATTGCAGTGAAGGCCAGTAACATGATAGCAGTGACCTAAGAAATGAGAAGATTTTTCCTTCAAGTAGTTTCCCAGAATTCTTGAACAGTGAGTAGCTTCCAAAAGCCATGGGATTTGTCCTCATGAGGCAAGGTTATTGATTCTGTGTTCTCTTGAATCTGAGCAGCTACACCATCTTGAAGAATGTTTGATTGTCACACACTGACCCAAGAAATGCTGTCTGGGTACACAATTAACTAGGTAGGCTGAAGGCAGGGAACAAATCTCTTCCTGATTAACCATTGTCCTACAGCACTGCCTACCCATAGGACTACTTGACTATCTCAAACACTTAATTCAAAATGGGCCAAGTAGCACATCTGGATGAATTTCTATTCTTACTACCCCAATCAATATAATTAAACATGTTACTAGAATGATCTGTATTAATGTTTAATTATTTTTGGTTAAATTCAAAATATTTCAGATGGCTATTTAACATGTAAGATTTCAACACTGTAATAACATATACTGTGAAAACATTTCTTTACAAAAACCAAAAGGGTTTACTAACTTTGCTTCAACATTCAAAAACACAAAAATATATGCTTTTAAAATTCACAAATCAGGGAAAGCAAAGCATATTTTTACATCAATTTGTACCCTACCATACTTCATAATATATATTTATATACTCAAATTTCTATTTTATAGATCCAAGGTGTGTCTCTCCATAGGTTACATAATCATTAACAAGTGCCAACTGTTAGTCATGGAGAGGAAATAATTGCTTGTATTAAATCTGGCCAGAACTTTTGCCTTCTTGGGGTTTATTTTCCCAAGAGTGGAACAGTTGTTATACCATAATGACAACAGTAATAATGACCTTAATGTCCAAAGTGCTCTGTCATTTAGAGTCCTTTCACAGATACTGTTCCATGTGATGCCCATGACCACCCACTGGTCCATTGCCTACATTCTGACATCTCTTTAGCAGATGATCTGTAATCTGTTGATTGTTCTGCTATATTGCTCCCCATGCTAATATTTGAGTAGGATAGCATTTATGTAGACTAGTCAACAGTTGATTTCAGTGCCAAATACAATATATTGTATCAGAATTATTTAAAAAAAATATCAAAGAATGGTCTCAGCCATAGATTGATAACATAGGTACTTTTGATTTTTTTTTAATGACTCTTTTTAGGTGGGGAAAAGATAAGTAAGCAGGGACAAAGGCAGGGGTGGGGGGTGGGTGGTGGGAGGGGGGAATGAAAGCAGAGAAATACAACTTCTTATCCCAAGCTTGAGATGACTGTTCATAATATACTTACTGCTCATTAAGTATTAGAAGGTTTATTTGCTGAGAGGCTGAAACATCTTTGCAAATGATTCAAAAGATAAAAGCCAGGCTTAACTTAAAGAACGTTTTTGGAAACCCCAAGTAATGACGCATTTCACCTCAGGGGCACTTTGCAGTTCTTTACCAGGGCTAAGTCCCATTATTAGTTTTCATTATTATGGGTCATCTTGGGCCAAAGCCTCTTTCCTGCTCTCTTTTGTCAACTTAATACCCCAGTACTTGTATCCATAACAATGACCAAGTGCCACTTCCATTGTTGAAATTGTTATTGTTGATATTCTTTTGTTGTTTCTGTATGTGATTTTTAGTTCCATGTATGTTAGTTGTTTTGAGCTAATGATGGATAGAAATGCTCACTCCAAGAAAAATAAACAGAACCAAATGTTTAAATTGTAATATGGCTGTTTTTCTCCCATTGTGATACAAAAGTTCCATCCTATATAATAAAAGCTGAATATGCTACGTGTCTGACCATTCAACCATTTACCAGTCACTATCATGTACACTGACTACCAGGGAGCAGATACTCCGGCCAGTAGGTTACCTTGCTGCTGGGCTATGGCCAATCAGGACTGGGAATGACAGGCTGGACACACCCTGGAGCTGTCCCACATTCCCTTCCCAACCTTGATCATGCATGGGTTGGGTCCCTAAGCCTGGCCTGTACCCTCTCAAAACCTGGGACCCCTTAGGGGATGTCAGAGAGCTGGTTTCAGCCCAATCTCTGCAGATCAGGCCGAGGGACCCCACCAGCACACAAATCAATGCACTGGGCCTCTAGTTTTTAAATAAAAAGGAAACCTTGATTATCATAATGCTTCAGGGAATTGCTATAGGCCTTTAGACAGACATGAGCAGAGCAAGGACAGTGAGCCAGGTACAGAAGCTCAACAGGGTGGAAAGTCTAGGGTGCCCCCCCCCCCCCAGGGTAAGCTTTCCTCCTCTAGCATAACGCTGATCATGTGCTTTAGACCCCCTGATTTTTCCCTTCCTAAAGACAACAGCAAGGCCTCAGTTGTATTTCATCTCTAGGCCCAGAAATGCAGCAAAACCAGACAAGTGATGCTGTGGCTGCCTCAGGACCAGTTGCATTGACTAATGACCTCCTGCTCTAGTGCTGACCAATCAGCAGAGATCAGAACTCTGAAAGAGCACACATGGAAAACTGATGAATTGAGACCCTGCCCTGAGGCCTCCGCTAAGATTCCCACCTGCCTGAGAGAGATAAAAACCCTCAACACAAAGGTCCCAGCTGGAGCTCTTGCCCTGGGAGTACACTCTCTCCATTCCCTTCCTCCCTTCTTCCCTCTAAGGTTTCCCACAACCAGGAAAGCAATGGGCAGCAGCAGTTCCCCCTGAGTTTGTGCCCTGATCCTGTCTCCATGGCCCCCGTTTCTCTGACATCCCAGGGAGCCAAAGCATCCTAGCCTAGGCTTCTAGGTTCTCCTGCTGCTTCTTCTATGCCCTTTCTTGTTTCACTGTCCTAAGTGGGTTTCGGCTGCAGCCAATGAATTCTTGCTTGCTTTGCTGAACTTTGTCTCTTGGTTGAAATCTTTCATTCAGGAAAACACAGACTGAGATCTCATCATCTCCCAATAACAGGATGACATAATTTATTTGACTTTCTGGTAAATGGAGAGCCAATTCTATTTGTTTTAGACTTTACTAATGGGAAACTTCTAAAAATTTCCTTGCTCTTCTGCCTCACTAGTTTGTGTGTTTTTTTTTTTTTAGATAGAGACTTCTGCAGTGCCCTATATCCTGCATTCTATTCTATCCTGCAGACAGCATTTGTTTGTTTGATTGGTTGTTCAATGTGTTTTTCTTGGGAGAGGGCACAAAGCCTTTTCTTCCCTCTCCTCCACTTTCTTTCCTGCCCTTTCTGCCCATCCCTTCCCTTTTTTTTTTGGGGGGGGGAGGTGTTAGGGTGGGATGGGGGGTAGGCAGGAATCAGTCAATGCCCTTATAATTTTATTTTTTTAAATCTTTATTGTCAAAAGTATTACAGATGTCCCCGTTTTTCCCTATTGACCCCCTCCACCTCAGGCCTTCACCAAACTATTATCTGTGTTCATGGTTTTATATGCATTTTATATAAATGCATATAAAATCTTTGGTTAATTTCTTCCTGCCCCTTCCTTTTCTCTGTGATTGGTCAGTCTTTTCCATGTTTCCAAGTCTCTAGTTCTATATTATCTTATTCATCAGTTTATTGTGTTAATTAGATTCCACATATGGGTGAAATCATGTGATATTTATCTTTCTCTAACTGGCTTATTTCACGTAGCAAAATCATCTCCAGGTCCCTCCATGCTATTGCAAAGGGTAGTTTTGCCTTTTTCTCTTAAAGCTAAATTCTACCCTTTTTATGGTTGTTGTCCCTTGTCTTTTGCTTTTCTAAAAGTGAGAAACAAAAAACACTTTATTCTCAATTTGGAGACCCAATTAAATAATTTCCAGTGTAATCAGCATTTTGATAGAATCAGATGACTTAGTTTTCTCTGTGTTCTTTTTTTTTTTTCTTAATTCTTTTTTTTTCTTCATTATCCAAGAACGTGCACACCCATTTTAGAGAGAGGGAAGGAGGTGGAGAGAAACACCTTTATGAACATTGACCATTTGGTTATCCAACCAGGGACTGAACCTGCAACTCAGGCATGTGCCCTGACCAGGAACCAAACCCACAGTCCTTTGGTTTACAAGACAAAGCTCCAGCCAACTGAGCCACATCTGCCAGGACTTTGCGTTCTTAATGTTCTCTGCTTTCATTTTCTGTTCTTCTTTACCCTCAGCTTCCTAATTTTAGTGGAAATGTAAGATTTAATTTTTTTCATGTTGAGGAGAAATCTAAGATTTACTAATAGTGAAGAGAATGGTTAAGAAGCAATTCAAGAGAATACTTGGCCATGAAATTTTCTGGTCAATTATACAGATGCTGGTCACTGAAAGAGATTTCAACCAGCATCAAAACTTTGGTCAATGTAACTCAACTCACTCATGACTGATGTATATGTATTCCAGAAGCTAATTAACATCTGTAAAGAATAAAAATCTTACAATACCATCCAAGGCTATAGGCAAATGTCTATGAAACCTGGCCATAACTGCTGAAATCAGCATAAAAACATGCAAGCTAAAAATAATAAGTATTATTTTTAATTCTGCAAAATCCTAGAAAGAAAGCAAGTAAATTTAAAAAAAGGGTATTAGAATAAATGTTCGAATCTTTTCTAAGTTAGCCTAGTAATAAAGTAGTAATGATTTATATTATTATGATTGTAATATAAATAATAAAATTTTTAGAATATATGGTTTTACACTGTTATGAAATCTATCAAAGAAAAATCAACAAGGGGGAATGTTTGTATGTATGTACATAGAGTCCATTTGCGTGTGTGTGCGTGCAAGTGCACAAG